TTGGACTCTGCCAGTCCCTTTCAAAACTATTCCATACTCTATTGCTGTTGGATTAACATGAGGCGCCATCATGGATCCCTACATTAACCAACAAACTCACATAAAACTTGTAAGCTAGAAAAAGAAAACATACTATTACAATACATGGACCATGTCAACTAATGTTTGCTTTCACAATAGGAGATTTGAGATTTTTTTTAATCAAAGTTCACCACTTGCCTTAGGCAAATTTACGATTTTTAAGCCATTGAGTGCGTAGGATCACTGCACCACCATGCTTAATTCCATGACTATAAGTTCCGACTTTTTATAATACATATTTTCATGTATGATCAATGACCTTGAATAAAGAGAGGGTAATTACCGGAGATAGATTGACAAGATAAACGCCATTGCCGGATATCTTTAGAGGAGAATAATTAGACTCATCCAACTTCTTGCTCCATCCAAACTCGTTCTTGAAATCGGCCTTCCTGTTGTAGAGATTATATGCTGATGGAGCTTTATGATTCACTCTCTCGACAACGTCTTCCCTGTTTAACAAAGTAAATAAAAATTTCCTCAATGACCATGTTGATTCCTCTTCTTTTGGGATAGTTTCTTCCTCAAAATTCGCAATCCTCTTCAAGTGAGCTAGTCTCTTGTGGGGTTCTTGGGCCAAGAATTTGGACCAAATGTGTGTGTGATGAGAACCAGATAAATGCACGATTGGCCCGGAAGATTGCCTTGTCAAGAACGTGCTTAGTTCTGCTGCCGAGACCTGCAGTTATACAATATTAATCTTGATTCAGTTTTTTTTTCCACTGACAAATGTAGCAAGCAAAGGTAAATTACTTGAGTACCTACATTAAGAGCAGTTGATAATGTGGAATGGTCGAATCCAGCAATAATGGATGTAGGATAAATTCCACCACCAATGAAGAAAGACTGCGAAATAGTTACATGAGTTACTACAAAATCTTTGGAAAAAAGGAATAGTTACATGAGTTACTACAAAATTTTTGATTAATTGGCTTAGGGTACCTGGAAAGCATGCCATCCCATGGATTCTGAGGTAACATCAATACTGCAAATAATGTGAAGTCTCTGGTTTTCAACTCTATTCTCCAAATAGAAAGCTGATCCAGCAGGAATTGTGTACACATCTCCAGGCTTCAAACTCCTTTCTGCTAATTCATCCCTGTAGATGTGTCCAACTCTTGCTTCCCCTGTATTCAATTCATAGAAAATGAACATTCTGGCTTAGTAAGCAAAGCATACCTAAATACACCAACATTATATATAAAATTGATGTTATTTTAACATATTGTTGCAGGCTTATTTTCCGGGCACTTGTTTTGAAAAAAGAATTGCGTATAGTTATGTTTTATGTGATCTGATAGCGTAAAAAGTTTAAATCACTGTCGAAGGTAAAGTGAAAAAATTAAGTTTACCATGGTGAACAAAGAGGAGAAGATTGGAATCAAGGTACTGAGGGATG